TCTGTCAGTTAAATAGAAAAATAAACCTTGATCTTTGATTCTGTCTCGATTTGCCCCCTTAGCCAATTCACTTACGATATCACTCAGCTGTTCCTTGTAAGCATGTTCATTGAAATCCTCGTCGTCGCTGTAATATATGTCTCGGCCACCGTTATCTAAGAATAAAAATTTTAATCATCTACACTTCTACTTAAAGTAATGTAAATGTTTCCTGAAGATTTCTACCTCTCTCATAATTTTTCGATAACCAGCTCAAGCTGCCCTTGAATTAAGAGCTTAAAAAATTTTCCTCATTTACTCATAAACCAGTTGATGCACGTATATTAGGTAAACGACAGCAGATTTTTATATGTTACAACCCCTGTCTTAATCACTTTTATTTGAGTGCAGCTTAAAACACTGAATTTTTTCTTTGTAAAACATGAAGAATTCAGCAGCTCCATTAACTGTTAGCAAAAACTTGCAATTGTAAAGAGCTGACGGGCAAATTCAACAATTTCAGCATACTCTGACTGACATGTTATAGCAAATTTTTAAAATTTGAGAGAAGTTGCAAAAAGTTTTAATGCAATAATCTTCTTCAAATCGACTTTCCTACACTGTCAACAAAGACCTTAGTTAAAAAAGTATTCTCAACCCGTTTGTATGCATTGAAATGAAAAAAAGAAAATTTTGTCAAAACTTTTCTGATTTGGGCCTTTCCAGTTGAACTGAGCAAAATTGAATAAAATTATTTCTTCAGCAGTCCAGGCATTGAGTCTAACTCTTCGCTATGCATAAAAACTATCTAAACTATTTTTCCGACAAACTGCAACAATTTCCCGAAAGTCCCTATAGCATAAGGCATTAAACTTGATGATTAGAGTACATTGCTCAATAGAAACGGCTTTTGTTAGCAAAAATGCGACTAAAATTTGTTGCATTGTTCGTTTCGCTAAACGACTGTGACTTTAAAATTTAACTTCTTATTGCTATTAGTCCTTTTAGTCCTTTTATTTTGATTTCACCCTATATTCTATAAAAACCCTATGATTGAAGTGAAAATTTTTGCAGAAAAAAAACTAAAATGAATAAGTAAATAAATAAATATAACATTAACAGGTGAGCTTTATAGCAGTTAAACTACTTTTTCCAGTGGCACATAACCAAACTGCTTACTACTAATTGCGTCCAGAAACTTCATAACTTTAGCTATAAATTAATTCTTTTAAAATCCAGAATACTGTCACTCCTTAAACTTTTCACACATAATCTGCAGAAGATTATCTCTGTTAACAGCAGCAGAAACTCTTGACAGTGCTCAAAAAACATGAATGCTTAAATCTTGGCACAGCACTTTTGAGGGTGCACTTAGGGATTGGGTGCATCAGACCCATAAAACCGCCCCTAAAAGAACAGCTTCTGGTTATGCCAACGATCTTTTTAGGAACGCCATTCAAATAAGTAATGACGTTATAGAACCGTTTCCTATTTCTATTCCAACTCCCGTCCAGTGAATTAAAAATTGTTAACCATATGTATTAAGTATACTAGCTTGATAAAACCGATGTTCCGCCTCTAATTTGTTTTTTTTTTTTTTCAAAGCTGATTTCAGCCCTCCATAAAAATTTATAAACAAAAAACAAACTCATTTCTATACTTCCCAAAACGAGGAAAAAATTCTTCTCGGTAAAAAAAAATATATTTATGAAAGACAGGTCACCAAAGCGATAGGGTAATTTTCTTTCTTCAATAAACATGTTGGAGAAGCATTCATCATTTTAAATCATCAAATGCAACATTAAAGAACAAATGTGGCTCATCTTAATGGATCTTCTAATTAAGAGTTAAAAAAGGACAGACAAAAAATCCATCTGATCTTATCAATAGTGGATTGTCAAATACTGATTCTTCTGCACAAACCCTTTACCCGACTCCAGTCAGAAATGGCAGACTTAAGAAGCTGTAGGAGACTCAAATGTTTAAGATGCAGTGAGAAATTTGTGCCATTCTCTACATTTTCAAATGCAGGCAACGAAATTAATTTCAAAAAAAAAAAAAAAAAATTGGAAATTACTGATTCAAAGCATTGAAAAATTGAGGAAAATTTTATCTCAACTGCTGTATCATTTATGCAGATGTCGTACCATTCCACAACTAATTACTACGTTCACTGTCTTAAATTGAAATTTTTGCGTAGAAAGTGACTTTAAACATGCAGTGAACCAAAAATACTATGTGAAACTTGTTTTCAAAATTACCACAAAAGATGTAACTTCCTGATGCTGTTGTGGTTATTGTTACTATTGTTATTTTTATTATTTGAAAATTAGTTAAATAAATTTAAAGATAAGTATGAAGTCAAAAGGAAAGCATAAATATCAAAACTGACCTTGATAAAAATTGGCGTTTGATGCATGAAACAATGCAGCAAAATGTAGAGCCAAAAGAAGCTGCGACCAGCGCATGCTTCAGCTCTACAGCTCTGAAATAGCTTCAAAGAATGGAGTAAGTGGGATGGGAAATCGCCTAGTGCGTATATGCTAGGGAACACCAATTGATTAACCAGCCTCAAGTTGGGTTCAGCAAATAACACGCGTGATGGCTACAGCTTCACACTAATGGCGAGCCGGCGACAGCGGTCTGCGGCGACGGTCAGTGTAGGTGGCTGCGGCACTGGAAGCTGAAAATAAAACGTGTTGCAGAGAAGCAAACATAAGGGAGCGTGGAACCGCATAACGATTTCATGGTTCGCTTTGCGATTTTCGCATAAGGCTCGCTTGCTCGTTCTTTAGCGCACTCTATATAACAGAAGTATGCATCTTTTTGTTTCCACTTGCTTGGTAAACTCCAGGGATCACTTCCATTGATTTTCACTCCCTATTTGTACGCAGTGAAATCCTTCCCTCGCGTTGTTACCAAGGTTTCTGGAAGCAGTTGCCACCATTACTGCATCTGATATGCAGCAATAAAATTCGCGCATTTTTGTTCTAAATCAGTCGGAATGTTTAGACGACACCCGCTAGCCGTTCAAACCTTGCTGTATACCGTTTAGACTACTAAAACAGCATTGGCCTAAGCAATTTATTGTCCGCACTAGAACCTGGCTAGCTCCTAATAAATTTTTGAAATCTTCTCTAAGCTGCAGTTTTGCTTGCTAATGATATATTTGAAAAACAGATGAAGAATGTTGTACGGTGAAACGTCATTCAAAATGCAACTCAAAGTTTTTCCAATATATATGAGTATGTTGGGAAGTTATTCTTCTACAAAACGAGGTTTTTGACTATTCTTATTGAAGATTTTTCCTTCATACATTGCAGAAACTTTCTTTCTAATGCAAAACATTGCCGAGTCGCTCGACCTTCCATTTGTTAATTGTTAAGAACAAAGCAGTTATTACTTAAAAAAATGATCGTTCTGAAGGGAACAGAACTGGGGAGTAATAACTGCCTAACATAAAAGCTGTTAAGAGGCGACAATGAATGCAGAATGCATTTAAAAATTTGTTATAAACAAATAGTTTGTAGGTGAATGGTAGTAATCTGATTTTCAGATACAATTTTTATTTCATTTAATGAGCAGGTATTATTCTAGATTGCTTGTAATATGAATTCACTTTGGAATTTAGTAACCCTCCTGAAATTCTGCTGTTTTTCACTTTATCAGGGTATTCAAAGCGTTGAACAGTTATCGCCACGCAACGTAATAAAACAAAGCATTAAAAGGAACTGCTTGACGTAAATGCAATAAATTCCACAGTGTAGCTATGGAGAAAACATCTTATCAACACCCGAGTAGAAATAGAAGACCTTATGACAAATTCTCAAATTCTGAATCCAGTGCTTCATTGTTACAATCTAGTCACAGGCAATTTTTCC